TAGACATCTCTTCTGGTTGTACACTTTTAACTACTGAGATGATCTCAGTATGACATCTGTAGCAGACTTTGGGATGAATCTCTGCAAATAGAAATACTACATTGGCAGTAATGGAGAAGAGGACTTGAGGAGCTCAGTCCCATCAGCCTGGGCATAGAATAAGACAATACTGAGTCTTTTACCATCCTTCCAATTACACTGTAGGAACTGTGATAACCTTTCTGTATTTTTATCTTTAAGTCACATTTCTCATATGAGATAGCCCTCAGTTAGAAACATTACAATCCAGTCTTAGGTGCACACTCTATTTCCTAAAGGACGATATATTTTGTGGAGCAAACATCCAGCTACACACGTGGAATGTATAGAATGTTTCTATCCAACTAAAATTAAAGCACAGCTAATTACAAACAAAACACTCTAGAACCTAAAAGTTAACTTTGATGTGCTGTGTTTCTGTATTTCAAAGTTGTTCCACCGTTCCCACAAGAAGACAGACACTGGGCAACACTGTGCTCCGGGAATCCTACAAATGAGATCCGAGGTTGTGATAAATATGGCTGTGGATACTATGGAGCTCCAAGGTACTGTAGAATTGGAACATGTGGGGGTTTATTGCTCCTCCACTGAAACAGAGTTGAGCCCTGTTCAAATTGCTTAAACTTGAAGGCATAGGTTGGACAGGAAGAAACATTTTTACTGCAGGGGTAATGCAACACCAGAACAGGTTGCCCATGTGTGCTGCCTGCTGTACATCCATATAACCTGACAAGAGACTGCTCTAATTACATGTTTGTTTTCAGACACAATGGCAAAGGAAAGCACACAGGTGTGGATGTCATCTGTTCTGATGGAGCAAACGTCTACGCTCCCTTTTCTGGCCAGCTCTCTGGACCCATCAAATTCTTCCACAATGGAAATTCCATTGATGATGGGGTCCAAATCAGAGGATCAGGTAAACAGCTGCTGTTCATTTATTATTTCATTGACTTGAGGTCATGCAGGATGCATTATCTTGCAGCTAGCCAAGTAGTTAAGCAAGGTACATGTTTTGAAACACTGCATCTTCTATCCACTTACATGCAGAACTTTATGTTCCTACGTTAGAATGCAAATCATTGAGTTTTGAAGAACGTCTTCGAGCTCTTCTCTTTACTAAAGCAGGAGTTCCCACCTTCTCTTCCCTCTTTCACCAAGCCAACAACTCCAACCACTATCTATTTTTTATGACCACAGCATCATTGCTATTTTGGTATTTTTACTATTGATATCCCAGTGGAAAGTACACAACAGAAAATGTATTTCTGAAACAGAGTTAGTAGAGAACAAATGCTTCATCAGTCATTTGGTGTTTTCCCTCTTGTTTTCACCAGGATTCTGTGTAAAACTACTCTGCATCCACCCCATCAGATACAATGGTAGGATTTCTAAAGGACAAATCCTTGGGAGAATGTTGCCAATGCAAAGAGTATTTCCTGGGATCACATCTCACATTCACGTTGAGAACTGCGATCGCTCAGATCCTACTAGCAACCTTGAAAGGGGGAAAGGGCGAAGAGAGTGAAATGGAGTAGGAGATTCCAAATAAATTCATCTCAGCATCCAAAAGTTGTTTTTCCTTTTCATACACAATAAAAGCTTATATTAAAACAGATTTGATACACTAAGCTTTATATAATATTGCAAGGGCATCACATTATTACATGTCCCAGGCAGCAATTAGGTACTGGTTTTTAAGTACTTATAGTTCTTGTGAACGTTGTATCCTAGGCAAATTGACAAACTTTATTACACCTTGGCAAATAAGATTACTTTAGATTTTGAGGATACCTGAATTGAGGACTAGAGTGAAACTGAAACGCTGAAGGTATGAAAGATGCCGTTTGGAATTGTCACGACAGAACAACCGGTGCCTTTACTGGGTGGCAAAAGGGACTCCACACAAGGAAAAAGGTTTTCTGTCATAATTTGCGTTTACAAGAGAAGTGTAAGCTTTCTCAGACTGAACAACCAGCAGGACAAGTAGCTCACCCCCTCATGTGGCAGAAAAGATGCATTGCACTCAGTTCTCACTGCACAGACCCTACAAAGCTCCTCAGCGTATCTGGTCTAAACTGAGGGGTTTAGTTACTCTAACAGACTGTATCGTTTTCGTATACGCTTTAGAGACGGGGTTTTAGAACGCCTTTACAGTGCAGTAAATCCCAAGAAAAACCAATAAAATGGACAAAACTTGCCTTAACTGGGACAAGGCGGAGCTCTCAAGTGCAGGCTGCTCCACGGACATGAGGATGTTTAGGCAGCAGGCAGCTATCTACAGGTTCTTGTCAAATGCAAGTCATTTAGGAAGATCTACATAAGAAAAAGAGCAAATGCTGCTTTACACAGGGGCAATGTTCTGACACTCCTCCCCAAAGCACTATGTATATACTGAAGCACCAACACATGACACCAAACAACTCTAACACTAAAACCATAAAATCATCGTTAACCTAATACTAGAAGTTATCTTTCAACTAAAATTAGTTCCCATGTTACTCAGGAAGGATCAGCATTTCACATTTATCAGTTCTGTTGGCATCTAGTTACAAACTCCAGTACCAATCGGTCTTACTTGTTAAGATCAGCCCGCAGACTGACTCCACAGGAAGAATCATTGCATCAAAAAGTCACAACACAATAAATGCAGGCTCGTTTTTCCAGAGGCTTGGAGCTGCAGCAAGCTAACATTGATGGCTTTACAGGAAAGCTGCTTTAGTAAGAGGGACAGAGAAAAGAACAACATTTGAAGAAGTATTTTAAGTTTCCTCCTGTAAATAGCCACTCATGTTCGATACTTCACTAATGCCCTATGCTGGCTGGGGAGACAAGAAGGACTCTGGGACATACCACCCACCTCCAAGATTTATCCACATTCCATTTTAGCTTCGGCATATCAAAAGCCCTCAAGTTTGAGGCACAAACATGAAATCACTATAATGTAATTTCCTATAACCCAAAAGCTGAACATTTCTACTGCCTCTCCCCAGGTTTCAGCAGATGCTTCCTAAAAGGATAGAACCCTGCCTGACAGGAGGATGTGGTACAACAGATGGCTAGGAGTCTAATGTCAGTGCATGTATTAGATAACTTTATTATGTTTACATTTAAAGCAAACCACACATCTTAAACCAAATACTGTTTAGAAGCATTTCAAGTCTTTCAATCCTTTTGATTATGGAAGCAAGAGCTTGGGTAACAGGCACCAATAACCAGAGTCAGACGCTTCTCCACTGCACAACAAGCAGTAACACATTACTGACTCAGACAGGCATTGTAAGTTATCTGAAGGCCTTCAAGCTTGCATCTGGGAGCAAATCTGTCCAGAACACTGGTGGCTTAACCCTTCAGATGTTGCTTTTGCAGTAAAGAAGTGTAAAGCTTGGAAGAAACCAACATTTAGTCTGATGTGAATGTGCTGGGTTTGTCTGGGATAGAGTTATTTCCTTCACAGGAGCTTGTATGGGACAATGGTTTGGACTTGTGCTGGAAACTGTTGATTTAACAACCCAGGGATGTTTGCGTCATTGAGCAGCACTTACACAGAGTAAAAGCCTTTTCTGCTCCTCACCCCACCAGCAAGGAGGCTGGGGAGGGGACACAGCTGGAACAGCTGACCCCAGACATATCCCATATCATCAGACATCATGCTCAGCATATTAAGCTGAGGAAGAAGGAAGGAAGGGGGGGAACGTTGGGAGTGATGGCATTTATCTTCCCAAGTCAGTGTGACACATGCTGGAGCGCTGTCACACTGGAGATGGCTAAACACCTGCCTGCCCAGTGGAAGTGGTGAACGAATACCCTGTTTTGCTTTGCTTGTGTGCAAGGCTTTTGCTTTATCTGTTCAACTGTCTTTATTGAGTTTTCCCATTTTTACTCTTCTGATTCTCTGCCCCATCCCAATGGAGAGTAGTGAGGGAGTGACTACGTGAGGCTTTGTGCTAACCAGGGTTAAACCACAACAGTGACAAATACCAGCAGCAAATCAAATGTAGACTTCTCCTTATAAATAGGAAGATAGAACAGCTAGAGCATGAAAATAATTACAGCAAAAATTATATACAATGCATTTCAGTTTACAGCATGCAAAATGTCAACAAAAATATACACTCTTAAATTCACATCAATTCAGCATTCCCTTCTCCTTGAAAGAAAAGAAATAAAATCTTCCTCAAAAAACAATTAACAGCAACAAGTATTAAACAGTCCTGAATTAAAAACTCCTGGATCACCTCCAGCAACCCTTACTCTAGAAATTAGGGCTTACAGCACAGCTCTATGAGCTACAGGCAAGATTCCTACAGGCCACACAGCCTCTAACTGGCAGGTAGTTTACTTTTCAAATGCTCTAAATCCTTAATTCCAGACAGAAAGTGATCAAAGATAACTGCATTCCATTTGATTCTTCTTCCTAACTAACCACATTTATCTTTTAACAATGAGAGAATACAGACAACCTCTCCAACCAAAGATTTGAGCTCTCCCAAATCCAGAAGCTGTTCCTTATATTCTGGTAGTTTCCAAAGTGCTTTGTCATTCACCCAACAACCAATCTAAACCCAAACTTTTAGATTAATTCATTTTAACAAGGGCTCTTTCCCATTCATTCAATGCCTAAGACAGTAAAACAAAACAGTGAACAATGCAGTCTCTACAAAGCAGTCTGACAAAATTAAAGTGCAATTTAAGAGCAGAAAGGTTCTTTGTAAGAATAAGCTTATTTATCACAACATTTCAACACACTAGCATGAGCTGAAACCAGATTATATTTGAGTCATCTGGGCTAGTGTATTTTAATGTACAAAGCTTTTACATTTATTAACATAGAAAAAAGCTGCATAAAGCATCATATTACTGAATTCCAAGCTGTATCCAGCTTGCCATAAATGTAGGTTTACTAAAGGAAAAACATTTCTCTAGTCCTCTTCTGACAAAATCAGAAAGATTAAACAAGAACATGAAACTTGCCCCAACCTTTAATGTGGATGGAACACCTAAAATGAAGCTCAGAGAAGCCCAATTCACTGAGGTTTGAAGCACCTGTAAACCACAGACACTCTCAGAAGCGTTAAGTACACTGATTCTATTTCAACATACCATTACCACTCCAGAATGTTTTGCTGTGACACTACTAGAGGTTCTCAAGGTAGAAAAACTCAAACCTGGAAATAAGTTTTCACGTTTCATTTTTAAATTCTTTATTTGCATAGAAAGCAACACCCTGATTCTACCCTTTTGTCCACAAATGTAAAGAATTCACCATGTTGGCATCATATCAGGAAACCAGAGTCTTCCCAGGTGTTTGGAGACTTCCAAATGGAGTCGATCTAAGCTATAATCATTATCTGGAATCAGTACCTCCTCCATTATAGAGAGCTGGGTAAGCCTGCCCCCACACATCTTCACAAATTCAATAAAACCTCTGCAAGTCACTTCACATTCACCAAGTCCCATTGCTGTCAAGTTCTTACAGCGCTCAGCAATCCGGATAAGTTCATCATCCAAAGGCTGGAGTCCATTAGCACACACAACCAACTCAATTAGCCTTGGGCAATTCAGGCCAATGCGACCTAACATCGCTTTGCTTACTGCACGACCAAAGTAAAGGTGTGTAACCGGGGTTTCCTCTCTGAAGAAAGCATCACATTCCTCTTCATATAAGAAGAAATACATCACAATGTTGACTTTGGGGGAGTGTTTAACAAGAGCATCCCAGCTTTGCTTTTTAATAGTATGAAATTCAACTTGGCCAGGATTTTCACTCACGACATCTATGCGAAGGTGTTCAAGGTCAACGTGTTTTTCACTTGACAGAGCCAGCAGCAGCTCGTCACTTAATATGTAGTAGTTCAAAGCCAGCTCCTTAAGTCCATGACACTGGTCAGCAACGCAGAGAATTCCTGAGGACCAAAAAACAATTACTCTGCAAAATGAAAAGTGAATGTAAAACTCAAGCAAGTCCTAATTCTATTGGCTTGAGTATTCATGCCTATACCCATAAACCCATGAAATACCATAAAGTTCCAAATATCTACATCCTTTAGAGGGTTTTGGCCATAAACACTTATCAGTTAAAGCTGCAAGTCTATCTAGTTGTATTCATCTTGGATCTGCATATACCCTTATTCCTCTTTGCCTTCCCTGTGCAAAATTTCTACAACTTAGAAGCAGCAACTGAAATCAGGTAAGGTTCAGCTGAAGTTGCCACTTCCCTTCCCTAAATACTCCTTCCTTCAGCATTCATATAAGGATTCTAATTAAATGACCACCAGCAAACCTAGCTGAAGAGCTGTGCTAAAAACCAGACCCTTCCCTGAATTGAGACATAAACCACATAACTGCTCAATCTGCTGGAATATAAAGTAGACAGATTATATCACCTTCTGTGGACTCTGGAAAGCACAGGGAAGAGACAAAACCAGGATTCCCTCTCCCCAGCAGCAAGGTTTCAGGAGAAACGTAAGTGAGAAGGGACCTAAAAGCCTTCTGCACTTTCGGTCAAAGCTGTATTTCAAAAGGAGTGAGCCCTTCACCAACCAACGCCAAACGAGCAAGTTCATAACTACCAGATCTGGACACACGAGGGCACTGCAGACACGGAAAGACTCGTAGTCTTCCACTGCTAGTTTTTCTGTACACACTGCGTGTATTTTTAATGTAACTTTGAAGTATTAACACTTTTGTCAGTAACTTAAACTCTCAGTACCTTATGGAACTGTTGTTGTTTCATCTCCTTTATCCCACCAACCAGTAGCTGACTCATGGCTCAGGGATTTTGCATGTGTGTTCCCAGAGAACGCCAGTTGGTTAAGTTCACAAAGTTGCCCACATTACTCAGCATATATTTCACTACCCTTTAACAGAACTGGCAATGAACATTAAGTGCTTGGAATATGTGTTAAAGGCTTGCACTAATTTTGGAGGCTTTTCCTTCTCAAAGCCTGTCATCAGATGTACTGAAGCAGCTGAGAAGAATGTAAAATAAAATCCCAGAAGATGCAGTCGAATGAGGAGCACCCCCACCTTCATTACTCCAACTCATTCTTCTTCCCCTTCCAACTATCTAAAGCCGAGGTCAATAAAAGGCCTCTGCTAAGTGACTCAGAAGAACATCAGAGGTTTTATGAATACCCTGTTTCAAACTAAGTATTGACCCTCATTTTATGGTATTTCACTACTACATTTTACACGTTCACTACTCACCAGCAGGTGATACATGAGGACAACTGCTCATCTTTAGCAGTTTTAGAGTATCACTATTGTTAGCAACAAGAACCTTCAAGGAAGGATCATCAAGTGGTGTGTCATCTATCTTGATTGAGGATAATGACTTGGAGTTTACAAAAACCACTGTCAGCGCTGAAGCAAAATGAGCCTGTTGGGAGAAATTGAAGGAGGGGGAAAAAAAAGAAATCTTAATGATTTAAAAAGATGGGCAAAATTTCAACATCTAAACCCAGGTTTTGCACACACAGAAAGCACAAAAAATAATCACTTCTTAGGTATCCCCTGGTTGTGTAACAAAGAAAGCATTATTTGAACATGAACACAGGTACTCTTCGCTAAAAATATGCTACTACATGTGACAAGAATTAACTTTACACTCAGTAGTTAACTCATCCAACCTGATTTACCTTTTCACTGCAATAAAACAGGGATAAGTATTCAGTGATAAGCCTGAACTATTTAGAATTTACCTGCGGAAATAAAGGAAGTGGTATTTATTTTATTTTCCAGAAAGTAACTCTGCTGTGACCTGTGGAGGCAAAGAAAGGAAAATCTCCCAATATTTTAACACCACATTACAGCATGAGGTCATTTTATCTTTTAACCCTGAACCAAGAACCCCAGGCTTCTAAATCATTCCTCATCTCTATCACAAAGTATCAGTGCTACTGATTTTAATAAACAGAAGCAATGATTATTTTCCTAATACTAATGGATGCCACAAATTAAAGATATGAAACAACAGAAAACTCAAGTGGTTTAAGTGTGAATTAAGTTACTCTGGTTACAGTTGGTGGAACATTACCTTAGAGACATTCATGAAGCTTGGTTTTGCTGTAGAAATCAAACCCAGTGTCTTGATAGAACAGTTTACCAACTGAGAAAGGATGTTGCAGGCTGCTTCTGCTGACTCAGTACTACTATCAACCTATAAAAGCAATTAGAAAGTAATGAAAACATTCTTTATTAATATTTTGAGAACAGCATCACGGATACCCAAGCCTGCACATTCCACACCTGCTCAGCTGTACTGCACCAGACTGGATTTACAACAAGGACCAAGCACAACATTAATTTCAGGTTCAGGAAGGTCACTATTAGAAACTTTTCCTGATTGTGACTGCTGAGTATTACTAATACGAACAGCGAGCTGAGATTTAAGCCTTCTCCTCAAATAACCTCATGCCTTCCTAGTAAACAACTGTAATTAGTATTATGATAGTTGTATGTATGTCTCTTTTAGAAATACCAGCTCTAGACTGTTACAGATAAAACTACCAATGCTGAGAAAAAGAACCTTCTGACTTTCATCTTAGCATTAATATCAACCCTTTCTTCTGCCTTTTCTTCACAGCTTAGAACTACGATATCCTCTAAGAAGAGGTGACTGCAAAGAAGTGAACAAAGCACCTGTAATTCCACCTCTGATCTCAGATGAACAGAGCAAATTGTATCAAGTATTCAATGAAAAAAAAAATCTGCATTTATGCAATCTTGAGACTACAACCTAGCTTTTATTTAAATCAAGTTTACTGCTACTTAAGTCTTTATGCATCAAACACCTGAATATACAGGCACAGCATCTTTCTCCCTTACTCATGCTTTTTCAAAGCATGGTTCTAAAATTATGACATTCTTCACTGTAAAGCCTTATTGTGAAAACAAATTATATACAGAAGACAAAATTATTTCCTTGAAAGCTTCTATGTGTAAGAAATATTTATCTGCACCATAATCTGCTGAGTACTGAGACTGCCACTAACACTGACTCACAGAAACTACGTATTCTGTATATGCTGAAAACGCATCATTCAATCTTCAGCACTTTATCGTTTGACATTAGCCCTTCCTTCACTTTGTAGAGATCAGAGTGTAGGAAATGGAAGGAGACCATGTGCATCCATAGAAATGTTGCAGTAGCTGCATTTTTAAACATAAGACTGCCCAGGTACAACACTTGAGCCAACAGACACAGAGAAGCTGCATATATTACACTCAGCCACATGACAAGACAAGCCTTCCGTTCATCCAAGACTTACCTTGAAGCTGACGTACTGCAGATGATCAGCATGCCTCTTGATAATCTGCTGAATGAGATCAGGGTGCGTAGACTTTAAGTAAGAAGTAGCTGGCTGGCTAAGTTCAAATTCAAATCTCCTCCAGAGATCTGGGATGTGAAAGACTTCATTCCACCTTCGACAAACAGAAGATGCCCTCGCTCGATCGACTAAAGGCAGAAACTGGAAAACACGCAGAATAATGTGGTGTGGAAGGTTTCCCCAGTCCATTGAGGAGTGCAAGTCACATGCACCAAACACTGAGCCATAGGAGCAAGTTTTCTGCTTTTTGCTTTTCTGTGATGCTTGAGGAGCTTCACTGTCAACCACACCTCTCTGCCTAGCTCTCCTCATCGTGAAAGCTTCAGGTACTGGAACGACCCAATGTATTCAAACTGCAGTTGTCTGAAAGGTATTACATGCAATAGGTCTCTAGAAAAACAGAGATAAGGAGGGAGAGACAAGACAATGGAAACACAGTCAGAGATAACAAGTCAGTAAAACTTAAATACAGCATGTTACTATGAAAAATGGTATGTTATGTCAACATCCAGTGCATAGAAGTTAGCAAGGACCTGCTTCCTCAATACCTTTTATGTTGCACAACTTGACCTGAATCTTGGAGAACTTGGGTTTGTTAATTTACCAAGTGTAGTTTCATGAGTTATTACTTCATAGCATATAAAACACTTTAATGGGGGAAAATAAGGTATTTAACAATAATTTAGTTTAGCGGTAGCAAACTGTTTATGTTTAAATGCAGCAGACAAACTATGGAAACTACTCAATTCCTAGAAGAATTTTATCATCTAGAGAACTCAATTCATAAACTTCCTTTTTAAGCACCAATGACCTTGGATCAGACACGTTCAGAAGAGTCAGACTGAAAAATTCTGAGGTTTTTTGTCTTGTTTTTTTTTCAATCATACCCGACAGAGGAAAAATGTTTGTACAGCTAACAACAGAAAACTTCAGAGGCCACTTACAAAACCAGGGCAAAGTACGGCTCACATGCTGTTTGTCAGCAGGAGAAAAGGACAGTGACCCTGGGATACAGCAAACTGCATGATTCCACTGAGGAGTATCTGCCATATAAGCCAGAGTTCAGAAAACAGCAGCATAAGGAAAAGCCCCTCATTCACATGCTGAAACAGTGCTATCTACTCAGTCCATTCCACACTAATTCTGTTATTCAGTCAGTTCTCAACAACTGTCTTAACCGTTTCAAATGCCACTTCATTTTATCCTTGGATGAGGCCTTTGAAAGTTCAACAGGACTTTATCTCTTCCCAGCCACTCTGAAACTGAACTTTCAAAGCAACCATGCAGTCTTCAAGAACAAAGAGCACACATTATCTGTTTTTACTGAACAATCTTCCATGGCAGCACTCACAGCATGCTTCTTCTGGAGCAAACATTTCACATAGTAACTTCATTATGGGATCAAAAAGAACCCAAACCAAAATCCAGAAACAGCTACCAAAATATAGACTATCCTATCAAAAATTTATCTGGCATCTTCCCCAGCTTATGAAACCTGATCTGTGGCTGATAAGGTGTCTGACACATAAGTGCAACTCCACTTTGATGAAAAGAAAGCATTTGCATTCTTTGAGAATTAGCCCACTAATCAAGAGCTGTTCATATGTCTAACAGTCACTAGAAATCTTCACTCCATCTCCTTAAAGTTCCATTTATGATAGTGGTAGGTAATATATGGAGGAGGAGAAGCTAGAAATGCTCTTTATATTTCATAATAGGAGTTTTTCTTCCTTGAATAGACACACATGCCTTGCATTAACAAAGTCAGCAAGTCAAGGAGAATGAATAACAATCTGCTCCAAAACACAGCAGTATTTCTAAACAATACATTACTGTTACTTAATGTAATGAAGATGCAAGCTCAGCATGAACAAACATTTTGCTACTAGACCATGTTATCTAATTGTCATCAACATGACCACGTTTTGTGACTACTGACTGCTTTAAGCCACATAATGAATGGGAACTCCAATGCATTATGTGTGGATGTAGCAATTAACCATTGCATAACTCTCTCTTGCAGCTGCTCATAGCCTTGCCAATTTAGCAAAGGCTCAGTACTCTCTGAGTCAAGGTTTAGGGACTGTAGTGATAGGACAAGGGGTACTGGGTTCACACTTAAACAGGGGAGGTTTAGATTGGATATAAGGAAGACATTCTTTCCTGTTAGGGTGCTGAGACACTGGAATGGGCTGCCCAGGGAGGTTGTGAATGCTCCATCCCTGGCAGTGTTCAAGGCCAGGCTGGACGAGGCCTTGGGTGGCATGGTTTAGTGTGAGATGTCCCTGCCCATGGCAAGCGGGTTGGACCTAGATGATCTTAAGGTCCTTTCCAACCCTAACTATTCTATGATTCTATGAAATAACCTCCTGTTTTTTTTTAGGATTCTATATTGCAGTACTATAAGTAAGTAAAATTATGATATATTACTGTGAGATGCCAAGCAGAAAAAGGTCCCATTGGTTATAAATGAAAGTTTTCACCAAACACGAAGCCCTGTGAAAATGTGAATACTCTAACCACCAACAGCACGTATTTCAAAACACAACTGAAGTCAAGTAAATTGTAGTTTCATGTCATATAATCCAGGCAGTATTCAATGATAGGTTTACACATATACATACCCCCAAAAAAATCTGGAAGTTCCTGTCAAGTTACCAGCACCCTCCTGGTATCCAAACATACATCCCACTGTTGAGTCATCCTGAATGTGTGCATGGATTCCTTAACCAGAAGGCAGGGACTGGTCCCAGATGAACTGACCTGTGAAGCCACCAACCAAAGAAACACCGTAATGCCTGGGAGACCCAGAGGAGGGACTGAAATCGGATATGGAACAAAGACTGAGATGAAGAACACACATGACACTGTAGTGCAAGAACAGAAGGAGAATAATGGAATGTGACAAGCAAATTCATCTTACCAAATGTTATCTGAAAACTATCATTTAACTAGTGGGTAGGCATAATTGTTGGCACCTATCTAGGTTTTCTATTATCTAAAGTTTTAGTCACATCAGTCCTCTTATGCAACACATACACACCCCTGGATTCTTGAATATTACCTAAAGAAATTACAAACCTCGATAAGAAATGTTAACTACACACTTTTACTCCAAAAGTATGCTTACTGCATCGTGATAATCCTGACAGTAAGCAAACTATTTTGGCTAATTAAACACGCTGGAAAAAGGGTATCAATGATGCATGAACATCCTCCCCCATACTAATATGAAAAACCTACCCTGTATCTTAGTATGAAAGTATCCTGGTCTGCTATAGAAAGCATACCCCAAACTTCCAGATTCAGTTACCCACTTTACATTATTTGTAGATGGTTTAATGGAAAGCTATAGGAATGGCAACACAAATCTTACTTAATCATTGACAGATTTTAAATGAAAAGCAGATTTAGAAACTGAACATGTTTACAAAGTATTGTGTTCAACCAGTAACAACATCTTTAGAAACCTTCTAACACTGAACTTTTCCTTTAAAAGGTGACAGACATGAGGCTTTACCTTCTTCCAGGTCACATCCTTATGTTGTGAAAAATTACCCAGTTAACATCAGCTTTATAGTTGTAAAGTTTAGCACAGGTGCAGTACATGTCTTAGCTATGAATACAAGAGAAGCAGCCCCCATCTCCTCAGCAAGTCAAACTAACACTGAAACCCGTGCAAGTAATGCTGTTGCTCAGCTCATGCATCAGAAAATTGAAAAGCTGCATAGTCATGCTTGTCTATACTTAGAAAGTTGATACACATTAGTAACTGCAGACAGCATCTGAAAAGTCTGCAAGTGATGGGATGGCCCTGTATTACATTCTCCTGCAAAGTGAGCAGACAGTCCCTTTGCTAACTGCACAGCACATAAAATTTGTTTGCTGTCAGTTTCTAACACAAAGGCAGGTTTATAATACCACATGTAAACAGAACACATAAATAACATTGTAATTAAGAGCATAAACCAGTGAGATGCAATTTAAAGATTCAACAAAGGAGTGCATTAAGTGTAAGTTTATAAACCACATGATGCCTTTTGAAGCAGCTTTCTTACCTAAAGAATGCTTCCAAGTTACAACAGGCAATAAATGAATGAACTGAGGCAGCTGCAGCCATGGGGCATTCACAAGCATCTGTCTGCTTTCCCCTCCTGTTCAGATAAAATGCCACAAAAACCTTTATTAGTCTTCAAAAAGAATAATCCTTGTATTACATCCCATGCAAAAGTGATAGGAAAATACACTGCAATCAATTTATACATTTTCTTGTTTTAGTAAAGGAGCTTGAGGGCATCTGAACACAGGTACCATCTCCCACATTTCAAACACCGTGTCACTGATAGAAAAGTGAGCTTGGATGAAGTATAAAATTGACGGGAAACAAGTGTTGCAGCTGCATTTACACCGTACTGGCCAACACTACAATGCAAACAGTAACTTACTCAACATTTCCATTATCATTACCACTAGTAGTGAAGTTTGGCAAATGACACTGGCCTAGGGAACTACACAACAGATGATGAAGACACAGAGGCCACATGGTACGGCTTCCTACCACCCAACGTGCAGCAGCCACCACCCAGTACAACCATGGGAACACGCAGTCACCTGGCAAGGAACAAAGCAGGAGCTGCACCTAATGGACAATAAACCACCCAGACTGCAGCCTCATTCCTGTTGATGAGCTCCCAGAATGCAGATGAAAGGCTGTGCAAAGCAGCAAGTGTATCACCAACTACCACATCAAGGGGGCTCAGACTCCAAGTCCCCTATATCCCTCCACACCACTTTCTTTTAACACTACATTCCAGCTGTTTGCACCTATCTTCCGCTATAAGGACTCATTGAAAGCTTTGCTTCCAAGAATTTCACTAAGTTGGCTTTTATAAAACCACACCAAATAACTGAAGTCTTCATCATAATAAACTTTACATGCCTGTCACTGGGCTAAAAAATAAAGAGTATACCCTTCCATCTGGTCTAACGTGAGGATTTCAGTATTCTTCCCAACACTTCTCAGTGTGGCTGCAAGCAAAATAAATGTTAATAGCAAAATAATATGTCAGAACTTTAGGAAAAGGACATTAATACCCTTTTATAGTAAGGAATGTAACAAATTTAGATGCCACATTAAAAGTTATTCAAAGTTGTTAAATAATAAAATAATTGGGTGTACAGCCTAATGATGCTTCAAGTTTCCAAGGTCAGAAGAACCATGCAAAGCAGCTTGAACTAAGCTCACATAAGCAGAAATGTTTATAATAAAAGAATAGCTAGCTATCAGAGATGCAATCAGATACAAACTTGCAATGTAAATAACAGTGAATTGTTATAAGGCAGAGTTACCTAAATTATTACCAAAGATAAATAGCAACGCCACAGTCATTGAAGTGAAACACTTGGATAAGTGGTGAGGTTTATCACATCTGTGCAGAGCACAGTATCAAACACTAGTGTACTACCCCATACAGCTGTTTTCTCTATAAACTCCTTGACTTTAGCATCCCATGATCAGGTATTTTTACACAGCTGCACATTATCCTACTCAAACCCACAAAACCCACCAGGGATCAGGAAAGAAATCAAATTTAATAACTGTTTCTGCAGCTTATCCTGGTAAAAGAAGCATCAACTTCTGCCAAAATTAAGATGCTAAAATCTCTCCCACGACAGGAGGTCTCAGCAGAGGATTGAGAGAAGCAGCCAGCAGGGGCTCAGTTAAGCCAGCAGCTGTTCACTACTTCCCATGGCTGTTGCAAAAAAAGGGGTTTATTACTAAAACCCAACATATCATGGATTCAAGCCACAAGGAAATGACTGCTTCCCCTGATTTGTAGATTCCCCTTTCAGTTCTCAGCACCAGGACCCAGCAGGAATTAATAAAACACCGTAACAATCAGGTTTCTGGGAGAGAAAAGGGGGAAAAAAATCCAAAAGAAATCAAGTTCCTGCGAAATAAAACCCCTTTCAAATAACTACGCTCAGAAATCCACCGGGATAAAGCAGGCATCGTGATAATTAAGCCTTAACTTTCCAGCACTTGGAAATTAACGTTGATGGATCTGCCTTTAAGAGCTGAAATACCTGTCCCGTTAATCATAGAGTCTTTTAAGGAACCGCAGTTCAGTGATAGCACCAAGGTCACCACGTTAAGGAATCCGGAGTCCCTGTGGAGAACAGGCGCAGCAGATCCCGTACTCCAGAAAGGCAGCCCTGGAACTGCTGATGCAGCCTCAATCGCCGCGTAGGTTTCCAAACACAGCCCGAAAACGCATCTGAAGCTTCCGTTTCAGAACATCAGGCTCCAAGAGCAAGCGTTTTTCTTCATTTAGGGCATTTCTGCTTCTGAACAGGGTTTCAAGCCTTCATTTTTTCCTCGAAACTGAGTCTCTCTCGCAAGGGACTGATCACGTTTTTAATGTGAGACCTAAAAATACCAGCACTCAGCTGAACACCTTAATGCCTGCAGTATTTTCCACTGAAGCAGGATGAACGCATTGCCACTTTAAGCGTTATTCAAGTGACAAAATCTAGCTGTTCTACTGATGCACTATATTCAGAAGCCACCCCCATCTGAATTCACTTTTAGACTACAAACACCACCAAAAACTCCCCTTATTTTAATGACACATCTGAAGCTCCAAACACTGCAAGGCAGAAACACATTCTTTCTACGGGCTTTCTAGAAGTGGTTCTACCCATCTTTAACAAGCCGTTTAACCTCTTTACATTGGAAACCCCTCTTTTCCTACAAGCGACGGCTCCCGGGCATCCCCAGCGCACCACTCGCCCTAACCGGGTGCCCGAATTGGATACAACCCCGGTGTTAAAGCACACCAGGAGGTCGCAGGTCGGCGGTTCGGAGTCTGTTCCACCTCACACTTCAACACAAGCGGGCTCCGAGCGAACGCAGCCCCGGGCAGGGCACTACCTTCCCCGCGGCTGTCCCCCGCAGCTCTTGCTGAGGGTACGGAGGGCAGCCATGGCCCTGAGGACGGCGACCTCCGCTCAGGCCGAGGGTTTACGAACGCAGCAGGAGCCCTGCTGAGCTCAGCTTCCTCACGGAGGATGAAGGTCTCCACCCGCGGCGGGCATTTGCCGTCCAGTTCCACACCGCCGCTGCCTCCCACCCTCCCCGGGCCGCCAAGCGGGTACCCCGCGGCCTCCACCCACCCGGCCGGGGCCGCCCCGCCGCTCACCGCCGCCTCGGCGCGGCTCCCTCGCAGAGGCAAGGCCGAGCCCAGCCGCCGAGCAGGGCACAGGCTCCGCGCAGTGCCCCGAGCCCGCCCGCCCGCCGCGGGGAGGAGCCGGAGCGGCCGCCCCGCACACACCCCCCCCGCTCCCACCACCACCACAGCGCGCAGGCGCCATGCAGGGCGGCGGGCGCCATTTCACGCCCGGGCGGGCCGAGCCCCGCGGCTAAGATGGGGAGGGCGGCTGCGGGCCGGGTCCTGATCCCTTACACGGAGCGGAGGGGTTTTACCTCTGGTGGCCGGCTCTCTCCTTTCCGTTCCGTCATGAGCGGCTGGGCCGGTTGCTCCTCATGGGCAGGCCCGGGGTGCAGGCTGTGCCTCCCGGTCATTCTTTCTCTCGGCTGTTGTATCGTTTCCTCATGGGGAGTACCGGTAACCCCGGATCTTCCTTGAGCCGGCCCTTGGAAACTGCCCCGTGAGCCTCTTTAGTTTGCCTCAGGTACAGCCTTTCCCTATGGAAACGGGTCTGTGGCACAACAGCACAGGAGATCCATCCTTTTGGCCTAAAGGATGGCCATGGGAGCCGCGTTGTCTCTGTCTCCTTGCATTACTGCCCTCCTCGAGGGAAGCTGTAGCCAGCCAAGGATGGTCAGCCCCTTGCAGAATGCTTTAAAAGAAGATGGAGTTCAAGCAGAAGGATACTGGGTTTTAGCTGGCTGTTGGCCAAAAAAGGGCTCTGTTGTGAACAGCAAGGCTTTCCCTGCTTGCTGTGCATACCCTCAATGCATGTCACCCTGCCAAGGACAGAGAACCGGGCGCTGCACTGTATGTCCACACTGGAGATGCTAGAAGAATTTACTACCTAATGTATAATAATAAAGCATATTTTATCTGTGCAAACAGAACAGCTCATCACTAGTCAGTGTTTCTTTATGATTCCAGTCTTATCTGAAGAATTGAGGTTTTATTACCAACTGCTACAGAACACAACCACAGGTTTCCTGGCTCTTGCATACAGCAATGATTAACCATGAACAAGCCTTTATAGCATCTTTATATAAAGAGATAATACTAAGCGTGAAGCACTCCAGTGGTAGATTATATCTGCGTAAAAGCATAGCTGGCAGAACGCAGCAGAGTATTTGTGTACCATCAAAATACAGGTTCTTCACAGAGGTCTGAAAAAGGTTGAGCGTGTTGAAGGGCTAATGAAAGGAAGAGAAAGGAATACTTATCACTGTACTTCAAAGTACACAGTTCCATAGAACAGAACACAATAGAACAGAATAGAACAGAACAGAATAGTTAGGGTTGGAAAGGACCTTAAGATCATCCAGTTCCAACCCCCTGCCATGGGCAGGGACATCTCACACTAAACCATGGCACCCAAGGCCTCATCCAACCTGGTCTTGAACACTGCCAGGGATGGAGCATTCACAACCTCCCTGGGCAACCCATTCCAGTGCCTCACCACCCTCACAGGAAAGAATTTCCTCCTTAGATCCAATCTAAACTTCCCCTGTTTAAGTTTGAACCCGTTACCCCTCGTCCTGTCACTGCAGTCCCTAATGAAGAGTCCCTCCCCAGGCCCCCTTCAGATACTGGAAGGCTGCTCTGAGGTCTCCATGCAGCCTTCTCTTCTCCAGGCTGAACAGCCCCAACTTTCTCAGCCTCCCTTCAGACAGGAAGTGCTCCAGTCCCCTGATCAAACAATGACAAAATACACTGCACACTTACAATCAATTTAGCTTAGAAAATCTACCAAAACCACTCTTACATGGTTCTCAAATGTATTAACTCGGACCCTAAAGGAAGTAGGAGATTAAGTTCCAGGTAATTTTATCAAGCCCTTTGTTCTTAAAATATTCTTTAAAACTGATTTTTCAGTAAATACTGCTACAAAAAGCACCTTTACCTTAAGAGTTACTCCATGTAGACCGTGATTAAAGGCTAGATTGTAAAGAGATTAATGCAGATTTGCAGCTAGTATCTAAATCCACCAGTCATCGGTTTCTTTGGTGCCTTGCTGGTGACGTTTGGCCTGCTATACAGTAACAGGTTCAAATGTACTTTAGAAATCCGTTAGACTAATCTATATAGAACCAGCTACGGATTTGTAAGTACTGGAAGAAAATAAGCACAAACACGGGCACACACCGGGTGCTTCTGTCTTCTACTCGTCTTCCAGGTATCACATTGGTGCCTGGTTCAGCACTGCTGCTCACGTCTCCAGTTGTATCATCTCATACACAAGACGCAGAGAGCTAAAGGCAAACCACCCCACTGGATATAGGTCCCCCTTATCTAACTTACTACTACAGGCTGCCTACATCATCCAGCCACTCAAAGTCAAGCTGAGCCTTCCTCACGTGGTTGTCTCTCCTGCAGACAGATTTACAGGAGGAGATGTCTACTCACATTGCATGTTTATGGTGGTTAGTGATGTTATGCATGGCATTTCACGCAGGTTTCATAATACACTCTTTCTGTACTTTGATCAAGAGTGATTATTCACATTTTGTATCATTGGCCTTTGAAGTAGTAATCACGAAAGCAATGTGAGTAAACCCGTGAATTAATGAGCATAAGGAAGCTTTCTGGAAATCAGAAGTTTCCCGAGAGTGAAGACTGAACATGTGACGATTCAGAATCAGCACTCCATGCGCTTGAAGTCCTGTGCTGAAAGATGAAGATGAGATTCTTGAGATTGTTGGCCATTTCTTAACTAGTTTTTAACAGAAGCCTCCACAAGTAAGGGAAGGGAGTTGGGAAAAACCAATGAAGAATATAAAGTTAAGGATGTTTGTTGTCAGGTTAGGTAGGAAACCACATAGTACATTGTGCTGTGCAACAATAGCTCCTACAAATAAGTCTCGCAAGACATCACTACCAGCTTTCTTGATACGCTAAGTTTGGCATATCTGAATTTCATAGCAGGACTTCTACATGTTAATGCAAGCCC